TCCTGAGGGTAAGGGTTATAAAGAGAAAAGTATAAATTATGAACTGCTGTTGCTTTAATTTTTACAGAAAACAGTGTTTACCTCTAGAGCATCTTATATATGTTTCTGATGATCAGATCTATACTGCTTAGCTGAAGCCCCAAAGAGGTTTTCATGAGCAGGGGCCTCATTGCTGCACATTACATGGACTGGACATTCACGTGTCTAGAATAAAATCAGTGTAAGATCAGGGAGGGGGTTCACTTATTAAACATTACTTCCCAGTTTCCAGATGCAGCTGGTCAACCTATTAACTCCATCAGAATAGTCCCCAAAGGGCTACCGTTGGTCCAAACATCAGCTTTGGTATAAATAATCACTGATCCATAATGTTTTATGGATAATCTCCCAGGTTTACATATCTGCCCAGTTCCACCCAGGGAAGTGAGAAAGGAAGCCAGTTGAATGTATTTTGGCAGTACCTCCAGATGCCTGTCAGAAATCTCTGCTGACATCCACTTTGGGGGACCCTATCTGATCTTCTGTATTCTCCAGCATAACTACTGGGGATGCATTGCTAGCGTGAGCTGTCTTCGCATGCTCTCGGCCCAACAAAAATGAGGCACTGCTGGGTTCCGTGCGTTATCAGATGTAGATTACATGATTGTAATTCGTAACGTTTTCATTGGCTGAGTTTTCAGTAGCGGATCTCCAGGCATGCCTTCCTAGTCTGTCTTAGTCTGGAAGCTTCACTGTGACCTGCTCAGCATCATAAGAATACCCCGCCTCCACTGACAGGTGGGTGGGGCCTGCATATGAGGTGCCTTGGCTAGTAATCAAATCCAAGACTGGCACATGGAAGGCAGGAACTCTACCACTGAACCCCCAGTGCCCCAAGCATGAAGGGCCTATTGTCACCTACCCATAAAGAGAAGCAGATTTCTGAAGGCAATCTGGGTTCTATTAAGATAATAGCCACCCACTTCCCTGATCATTGGTTCCTACAAAAAGAAAAATAGTCGAATGTGCGAGAAGAGAAAGAGATAAAGTGTGCTACCTGCTCGCCCACTGCTCCCCCCGGGCTGTGCTACCTTGATTCCGAATTAACCAGCCTAAGACAAGAGAGCTAATAGTAATAGCTGGTGTGCTGATAGTGCTCAGAATCTGCCACAGACTTTGGCTCAAGGTTGAAGTGATCTCGTCTAAAACACATGCTTGTTTTCTGTCTCCCTTGTCTCCCCGACGGCCACAGCCCACTCTTTCACTCTCCACCCCCCCATCCCCCATCTGGGAAACTTATCTCCTAAAATGCTCCCATCCATCAGCCAAAGACACTCTTCCCGACAGAGCGTCTGCCAGGTTGACTAAGCACAAGTAGTCACTAGTTTGAGGATGCCTCCCACACTCCCTTGAGCTGTGTGTTTTTCTAGCCTGCCTAACCACACGAGTATAATTTGGGATATTTATACTTCCCTCCAGTTTCTATCGGGATCATAGCACTACGTTTACAGAACTGGGCAGAAGGCACAGTGTGGGCAGTTGCTGTGGAGCAAGGTGGACGTTACCCACCTTGCTGATCTGCCCACTCGTGAGAGGGTTTGTTTGGATTTTTGCGGCCCAACCCATTTTGGTCTGCTTCAGCTCGGTGCCGGGTCAGAAAGTATATAAAGCAAGCATGCACCAAGATGTAGGCGCTTTGCCCCAAGTCATCCTCCGATAACCTGCTCTCTCCTCATTAGGTCAAAACAGCTGCCGGTACCTTCAAGTCTTTGAACTGAAATTGCACCATGGAAGGAGAGGAGTGGAAAGGGACAGAAGTGGGACTGGAGGCAGAAGCCAAAGCACTGGGAGGGGGAAGAAGAGAGGGGGGTGGGCAGGAACCAGGGGCCCCCCTCTCTCACCAAGTTCCAGTCATGAACCCACCCACAAGCTGCAGTGAAAAAGCACAGTGCGTGGGCACAGGTGGGTCCCAGCCTCTCTGGCTAGATGTGGCCCAAGCTGGAGTCTGAATGAAGACTTTCATTGCTGTTTGCTGTTTGTGTTGGCCTGGAGCCATGGCAAACATTTGCAGGTGGCTTGGCCAGATTTTGACACTTAAATATTTGAGGTTGTGATAAAAATCAGAATATTACTACAATATGGTTCTGTGTAGCCTCGGAAATAATTTTTTTTAAACCGAGAAAAGCTATCTGCGATTTCAAATGTTCATTTAAAGACACAGTCTCCAGAGGAAACTCGTGCTTTAAAATAAGTACTCATTTCCTCTTTGCTGAGGGAAAGAAAAGAGCAAACCACCCCCAAATGGTACCACCTAGAGTTTAATACTGAATCCACTGGGGAGATGGGTTGGGCTGCCTCTGGCTGAGCCCCCAGGATAATCCGGGCACGGTTTTGGACAGGGCACAGGGAGAGAATGGAAATGATGGGATGGGTGGGCTTGAACCAACATGTAAGCACACCAGGGAAGAATCGGAGAAAAGAAACAGCCTCCCTCATGCTTGGCAAGGAGACAGACTCCTCTAAGTGGCAATTATCTCCTAGGACACACCGGGAGAGACACAGAGCACCCCAGGACCGGGGCTAAATTGGAAGATGGGGTGGGATGGGAGGTCATTCGTACCAGAGAAACACTCCCACCATATCCAAGCACAGTGACACATATGTCACCCAAATCTGCAAGACACGCCAGGCAAATTCAGGATAGTCACCCGCCCCTCTGAGCCCTTAGTGCTAACCCTTAAGAGACTGCTTCACAAAAGCCAACTTTGTGCTCACAATGACCGAGTACTATGAGCCTCCAAGAGGGAAGGCGGTGGGGTGGGGGGTGGGGGGTTGAGCTGGGGAAGGTTGGAGGGCTCCAGGGGGGAAAGAATGTTGTAAAACTGCTAGTAAACTCTGGCACATTTTACGTTTGTTTTTTGTTTTGCTTTTCCCCTTTTAATTCCCCCTTGGAAGAAAAAAAAAAAACATAATTAGTTGGCTTAACTGTGAATTGTCTGCCCAAAGTCGAGCCACAAAGTGGAGAAATGACCTGAGTGTTCCACACGGTCCTTCATGAGTCCATTGACCCTGCTGGTACACATTGCAGGTTCTTGCAGATGTAGGCTCACTTAAGAAGAAAAGAAATCCTTTACAGACACATCAGCCAGGTCAACGTCGGCTTCTTCAAACAAAGCCAGCCATTCAGAGGACCGGGTTACTGTGCTGGCTCGTGACATAGCAAATCAAGTGCCACAGCAAGCACACCTGGGCTCACGCACACACGAAAGTCATTACGCACACCCTCCTTTGAGAACGGCGAGCCTTCACAGGTCAGAGTCCATCTTAAGAGTTTGATCCACGTGAGGACCAGGATTCCCCTTTTGGCATGGACGCCACTGTAGCGGGATAGGAGCCCCCGTGGCTGGCATAGTGGGTACACATTGGGCTGCTAAGTTCCAGTTCAGCAGTTCAGAAACCAGCAGCCACTCCCAGAGAGAAAGACGGGGCCTTCTACTCCCATAAGGAGTTAGAGTCTCGGAAACTCACAAGGGCAGTTCTACCCTGTCCTGTACACTGGTCGTGAGTCAGTATCGACTTGATAGCAGTGCATGAAAGAGAAATAAGCTAGTGTTCATTGTTGGCCTGACAGCCACAGAAGCATTAAACACAAGTGGGGGAAAAAGCATACTGACAAATTGTGGGGCACCTTCTGATTGTTTTTTTAATCACCATATCCAGTGTTCAGTAAGGCAAACTCTGCTGTGGGTACCAAACAGAGTAGACTTCCCTTCCTATTATGAACCGAGGCTCCAGGGAACTAAACACTACTGATTCATAGCATTCAACAATAGACATTTACCATGAGACTAGAGCTTCCAAATGCCCTCACATTTTTGCGTTTCATCCTAACTCTACTCTCGTGGGGCTGGAAAGACAGACAGCATCCTCATTCAGGACATAAGGATGCTACACACCGAATGAACTGCACAAAGTCAAGAAGTCAAGAGGAGAACTGAGATCAGAATGCAAGACTCTACTGTTCTTAATGGTGGGGCCAGTGTGGTGCTGTCGTCAGGGCACCTCTTGCAAGAAAGGGACGCAGCGACCTGTGTGTGAACTGGTCTACTGATGGCCTTAACCATCCTCTAGTTGGTGGCATATCTGAACCCCACACGTATTTCTGAGCACTCTTGGGACTAGGACAAGGTAGGAGCCTCCACTCATGAACCACCGGTTGATGGCGCTATTCCTCTCCTGTGGATTGCTAAAGTCTTCTAAGCTGGCCACATCACACTTAGAATTTCCAGTTGACCTGCCATTTTCTAGATGTGTTTCCCCCCAAAATGAATGTGTATACCAGTCACCCGGAAATCCCTGGGATCATCTGAAGATGTAGATTCTAAGTCAGTGGTCTGAGGTGGGGCTAGGGATTCTGCCTTTCTAGAGTTTGAATCTCCAGGACGATGGCAGGCCCACTTGTCTTCAGACCACACTTTGAACAGGAAGAGGCTACAGCCATTGCATGATACCAAGAAGCAAGTGCCAGCGTTTGCCAACTGTGACACAAAGTACGTGAGGTTCTGGGCCATGACTGTTCCACCAATATTGTGCGAGGCCTCCAAGCTGTCTTTTGACATAAGTGTGAGAGGGACCCCCTGCCTGTTCAGTCTGTTCTGCTCCAGACAGGCGTAGGGACCAGTCGGTCAGAAAGGATAACCAGCAAGGGAGTGTTTGCAAGCAAGAGGGGCGTGCGTTCCCCTGCTGCCATCTTCAAGGTCACAAACCTTGTGGGCGAAACAATGAAACAGAACGACTCAACTGTTCCTTCCACAGTCTACCATCAGAACAGCTTCCACCACACTGAGGCGCGCCTTCCCTCCCTCCCGATGAAATATAACACTCTGAACCTCTGGGCAATACCATACCCACCAGGAAAACCACCTTCCGTCGCCTCCTATCTGAGCACCAGCAATGAGAAGTTCCAAACCTTCTTCCAAGCTCCCGCCAGGACCCAGGCAGAGCAGAGGAGGTCGCCTTACCCGATCTGGCGGTTGGTGGAAGGGGCCTGTGTGATGACGGAGCTGGACTGCGGAGACGGCATGGCTTGTTGAATCACCACGCTGGTGTCGTGGTTGGACATCCGGGAGCTGCCAAGTTGGTGAGTGCCAGGCCCCGTCATGGCTCCACTGACCGTGTTGTGCATTGAGATGCTCTGCCCAGAGAAGACAGAGGTGAGAGGTCAGAAGAAGGAACGCGTTCATTCTACCCTCAAGCTCTCAACGGCCAAGGCAGGGCATCTGGTCATCAGTGAACTCGATCATCAGGGCTTCTGACAAGACTTGTGCCCCTCCCCCCTGTTTGCACCAATGGCTCTAAGGAGAAGAACTGCTCCCCCTTAGAGTAAAGCAAATGGGAAATTATTGTGGCGTTTGCTAATCACTCGCTCAATCCCATCTTGATGCGAGACTTCCATTCTTCTGAGTATCGCTCCTCTGTCTGGCTGTGATAAAGACGGCAGTGGAAAAGGAGGTGTGTGGTCAGCACTTAATACTGTGTTTGAGTGAAAAACCATTCTGCATCCCGCTTTGTTTAACAAGCATGATAGCTTCTTATCCTTTCCACTCCTACCAGCAGAGTGATATACAACTGTCTCTAGATATACAGAAATCGATAGGGGCATATGTAGATATAGATCTTTATAGATGCACATATCTATAAATAAGGGCTCCCGGCGGTGTAGTGGTGATGCATTGGGTTGTGATTCCGCATGGTCAGCAGTTCGAAACCACCATCAGCTCCAAGGGAGAAAGACTAGGGCTTCTCCTCCCATATACAGTTACAGTCTCAGAAACCCACAGGGGGGCTCGCGATGAGTCAACATTGACTCAATGGGAATGAAATTTTACATAGATATAGCTAGATCTAGAAACAGAGTTACAGGTATATATAAGGAAATACAAATATAGAGATCCCAGCCCTTCTCCTTGCCCCCCACCCCCTGAAAACTGCCACGTTTGCAAACCATGATCTGGGCCATCATGCTATACCAGCTGTCAACCTGTGGAATGAAGCTGGACCACTGGAAGAGAGGATGTACGTCTGGGATCCAAGCTAAAAGTCACGTTTCTATAGAAAGCCGTTCTGTAAGCATACGCTTCATGAACAAACCAACACAGACACAAATGAGGTACCTGAGTCACTCAAGGGACCAGAGAGCAAGGTTGATATAAAATTTGTTTAAAAGTCAGGTGAATTGGGTAAGAGGGAGCTGGCTTAGAAAGCCAGCCCTTCGGAGTCACAAAGAGCCTGGAGCAGCCAGAGGAAATGCACCAAGAGGCAGAGGAGGGCTGACCCACGCCCTGCTTTGAGGCTGGGATGCCAGAAGGGGATCTGGAACAAACAAAGGAGCCCTGGTGGTACCATGGTTAAGCACCCCCCTGTTAACTCAACGCCTGGCAATTCACAACCACCAGCTACTCCCTAGCAGAAAAGGCCTGTCAATCTGCTCCCATCAAGATTACAGCCCTGGGAGTCCTACAGGGCAGTTCTACAGGGTTTTATCGGGTCACGCGAGTTGGAATGGAATGGCTGACACACTAGAGAAATTGGAGGGCAGAGCAGCCACGGAATAGGCCAGGGCAGTGCAGGGCCTCTGTAAACCGCTCTGCAGTCGTGAATGTTCGTGAAATCCCAGGGTTCAGCTGGACAGTGGCTTGAGGATCGGGGAGAAGAAATGGAATGTCACCAGCAATTTACCAGGGGGAAACATATATATCTGTCGGCGCTTTGGGGTTAGCAAAGGAAAAAAATAAATGTTACCCAGGAGAGCTAGATGTGGTTCCTTGCAGTTCTTCAGCAAAGAACAGGATTTCCTGCACTATGTGCTAAATGATGGTGATAACATAGATGGCATTTCGGGTGGTTTGGGCCATCACATGGCACCTTTCTTACTCAAATTTCTGATTTCTAAATCCTGACCACACAGTCTTGTCGGGAGTCCAGATGGAAACAGCACCTGGCGTAGACTGCGAGCCGACCATGTGGTGGGATTCCAAATGCGTGAATGGACTCATACATGCCAGCCCTACCTAAGTCTCCTCTTACACACTGGAAGGTTTTTCTGGCGTGAGAACATGCCGTGGCGGGCTAAAATAAGATGAAAGGAAAGAGTGGTTTGTGTTGGAATGGCAGCGCAGGACCATGCTGGAGATCTTCGTATGGGGTCTGGTGATGCTTTGGGTTAGGTGCTGTGCTGCCTAACACCTCCCAGCTCCACAAAGACTCACTTTCTCAGAAATCCTCTATTGATCGGGGCAAGATGAGTCAGGACTGGTTCTATGGCAGTGGGCTTTAGGGGTTTCTTGTTTTCAGGGTTTCTTTTTCCCCAAAGATCTAAAAGGAATTATGAAATTAAATAGACATATGTTATTTCTTTTGAAAACGAACCTTATAAACGTGTCTCTCTGCTTCTGGATGAGGCACACAATTAGCAGGCCTTGTGTGTTCTGTGGTGAAGACCTTCAGAGACATTCAGAGCTCCCAGCTTGCTCGCGTCGGGGGTGTCAAGCGAACTCCCAACTCACAATGGCCTGCAGAACCGAGAGGAACTACGCCACAGTCTCCAGATGGCCACATCTTTCTCTTGCTGATCAGAGGAACTACGCCACACGTCTCCAGATGGCCACATCTTTCTCTTGCTGATCGGCAGGGTTCTTCATCCCACTCATAGCCACTTCTTTTTTTTCAATAGTCATTCCAAAACTCAGAAGGGTTTCTGGCTCTCATTTTAGAACTGTTCCCCCATTCTTGGCCACCCAGAGGCTACCAACACAGTGATGCCATTTCATTTGTAAAATTCCCACCCTTAACTCCACAAACAAATTATAAAAGGAATGAACTGTCCTTGAGCCGCTCTTGACACCTCTTTTCCATCATTCCCATAAGCAGCCCCCAAGGATCGCCAATTTGATCTACGCACCCCTCACTTCTTTTACTTCTTTCCATCTCTGCTTCCACCACTCTACACCTAACTCCCGTGGTCCCCTTCCTGGGATAGGCAGTGATCGCCTCACCAGCCTCTCATCACCCACACTGTATTCTCTTACATCTCTTTCCCACACCACACCCCCAAATCATATTTTAACATGCAAATCTAACCCCATTAGATTCCACGCCCTCCACACCGCCCCCTAAAGCCTCTCCACTGGCTCCCAGTTATACAGAAGATTCTGGAACCACCTTTGGTGGGACCTATGAGACCAGTGTAAGCCCTTGCTCCTTCCCGTTTCATTTCACTCCACCTCCACTGTGCTCTCTGTGAGTCATCTAACCCCACTGGAATCTTCCTGGCCTCAGCTGACCATGCTCCAGTTCAGCACAGGCCTTTGCAATATCCTGTGTCCTCTGCCCCAGTGATTTTCCTGACTCCACCTTCAAATCTCAAATTGATCACCAAGTGGGAAGGCCTCCTGTGACCTCCACAAGCAGGGACACCAGTCCCTAATTCCCTCCCTGGAGTTTCCTTTTAGGTTTACGGTTGCTTGTGATGATCTGTTTCTCCCACTAAAGGATAAGCACAAAGAGGAAAGGAACTAATAATTTGATTTAATTTACCACTGTGTCTCCATTGCCAAGGAGACTGAACAGATCTGAGCTGGGTGAAAGAGTGGTCTGTAGTAGCAAATGCAGCATGATGAACACGTACCTATGGCCCCCGACAACCCTTTAGAGTGATAACTTTCTACCTATTGACCTTGGGATTAGATGCTGTGCTGTAAAGAACTAACCTTCCCCCAAAGAGAATCCTGGTCTTTTCCAGCTTCCCTGGAAGGTGACCTCTAGGAAGAGTTTCTTTGTCTGGGAAACTTGGGTCATGTTAGAAAGTCTATGGTGGAAACTTTGAGTTGCAAGGTAACGACTTGACCTCCTAAGCTACTAGAGATAAGGAACCAGAGATTCTAGAGGATGAAGCTGACTATGCAGGCCAACAATCATGGAGCTCCAATTAAAAACACACAAACTCTGGACACCCAGGCTTGGTTAGGCTCCTCTGGTTGTCAGTACAGTGAACCCTCGTTTATTGCGGTTAATCGGTTCTAGACCCTACCATGATAAATGAAATTCTGCGAAGTAGGATTCCTTATTTGTAAATCAAATATTTTCGTAGTTAGAGCATAGAGGACATGAAAAAACACCCTTTAGTCACCATTACACTCGTATTACCCAATTTATTAAACGAAAAAGGGAAAATACAGTAAAACATTTTGGACGTTACAATTATCATTTATTATTTATTATATTATTTATGGCATCAAGCGTGTACAGTATGAGCCAATCAGTGGCAGTAATGACAGAGCATGTGCTGTTACGCAAAAACCGCGATAGAGTGAAGCCGCGGAAGTCGAAGCGCGAAGTGGCGAGGGTTCACTGTACGCCATTCAAATCGTCACACATAATACTGGGGGGACTTTGCTCCTGAATCCACTTGAACTACATAACTCAACTTTCCTGAGCTCTGCCCCATGCATCTCTTCCCTTGGCTGGTTTTATTTTATTTTTTAATCATTTTATTGGGGCCTCATACAACTCTTATCACAATCCATACATACAACAATTGTGTCAAGCACATCTGTACATTCGTTGCCCTCATCATTCTCAAAACATTTGCTCTCCACCCAAGGCCCTGGTATCAGCTCCTCATTTTTCCCCCTCTCTCCCTGGTCCCCCCACCCCATGAACCCTTGATAATTTATAATTTATTATTTTGTCATATCTTACACTGTCCGATGTCTTCCTTCACCCACTTTTCTGTTGTCCATCCCCTAGGGAGGACGTTATATGTAGATCCTAGTAATCGGTTCCCCCTTTCCACTCCACCCTCCCTCCACCCTCCTGGTAAGACCACTCTCAGCACTGGTTCTGAAGTGGAATCTGTCCCGGATTCCCTGTGTTTCCAGTTCCTATCTGTATCTGTGTACATCTTCTGGTCTAGCCAGATTTGTAAGGTAGAATTGGGATCATGATAATGAGGGATGCGGGGGAGGAGAAAGAAGCATTTAGGAACTAGAGGAAAGTTGTATGTTTCATCGTTGCTACATTGCAGCCTGACTGGCTCGTCTCCTCCTGGCAACCCTTCTGTAATGGGATGTCCACTTGCCTACAGATGTGTCTTGGGTCCCCAATCTGCACTCCCCTCATTCACAATGATTTGAT